GAACACAGTAACAACTGTTTTACTTCAACCATTTTCATCATACCAAGCTTATTGCTAAAGATTATTCGAAGAATGCACTACTGGTGTTTGCAGTAGTTACTTGCAATTCCCATTCTGTAAAATAAGGCCAGTTTTTGAAGCAGAGGAGTCAGGTTTCATGCCTGTGAGGATTCTTCAAGTACTTTCTAAACAAAGGGCATGTTGCTCAGAAAGCATAGGTAAGGCAGAGTGAAAACAGCCAGTGTCGTGACAGCTGTTCTGTTACCAACACCCCTTCTCATGGGGAGCTCTGAGTGAGATGACGCAAGATGATATTGCCAGCAGTAAGGGTCTTTCCTTCACTTTTTCCAATTTATCTAGATGCGTATTAGGGTCAAAAGAAATACTATGGTTCTTTCGTTCACCAGCATCCTACACATTTATCAGTGGCCTCCCACTGAAAATTTTAATAAATACTTCGGAATGCCCTGCTCCTGAACTTAGAGGAAATAACAGTGACATTTATATCTATGTGTTTTTAATGGTTACCCAGATTCCCTGATAGTCACTAGCCACTTTGTGTAGCACTGAAAATATGAAACTTGGCCAGGCGTGGTGATTCATGTCTGTAATCCTAGGACTTTGGGAGACTGGGGCAGGATCACTTAAAGCCAGGAGTTCAAGATAAGCCTGGGCAACAAAGTAAAACCTCATGTCTACAAAAAAATTAAAAAGTTAGGCAGGCATGGTGGTGCATACCTGTAATCCTAGCTACTCAGGAGGCTGAGTGGGAGGATCACTGGAGTCCAGGAGTTCAAGAGTACAGTGAGCTATGATCATGCCACCACGGCCACCAGCCTAGGTGGCAGACCAAGACCCTGTGTCAAAAAAAAAAAAAAGAAATTCAGGGAAATTGGTGTAGGAGTATGGAATGGAGTGCCCATTGTCTGAAGACTTACAATCAAAGGATCCTAGTAAGAATTAATTAACCAATTAAGAATAAGTTAATTATAAAATTAAAAATCAGGAATACCAGGCTTAATGCCTTCATTCATTCTATTTAGCAAACATCTTTTTTTTTTTGAATGCCCACAATGTACTAGGTTCTAGAAATACAAAATTACTTGATACCAGTACCTCGCCTGTCACCTTTCCAACCATGGACTTGGCTCAGACAAACCCCCAGCCCATGGTTGTCTCCGCCTACAGTGCTCACCAACTGGGGATTTATGTTGGGGATCCCCACACAACAGCAGCGCTCTTGGAGCTTGGACTGACCTCTCCTTTTCCTGTGTTCTTCAGGTTCTGCACTTCTGGTTCCCTTTTATCTCAGCTTTGCTTAACCTTCCCACCCTTCCCCAAAGAGATCGACTCTGCAGTTCTGAAAGGCATAGCTTAGCTCGGGATTCTTTGACATCTGAGGATACCTCTGCCTTTTAGAAAGGGGAACCAAGGGGAAAAATCTACTCATTGAATGTCATTTCAAAGCCAGCTTTATTAGGTACGATTATTCATTGCATATATCTTTTTTAAAAATTATTTTTGTTGTACAGGTACCTTTAGGTTTTTGTTCTTCACAGTGTTCTAAAACATTTCACTTCACTTTTTTTTTTTTTTTTTTTTTTTTTTTTTTTTTTTTTTTTTTTTTTTTTGAGACAAGGTCTCACTCTTTTAGCCAGATTGGAGTGCAGTGGCATGATCTTGGTGCACTGCAACCTCCACCTCCCCAGCTAAAGGAATCCTCTCACCTCAGCCTCCCAGGGAGCTGGACTACAGGCATGTACCACCATGCCCAGCTAATTTTTGTATGTTTTTGTAGAAACAGAGTTTCACCATGTTGCCCTGGCTGGTCTTGAACTCCTGAGCTCAAGGGATCTGCCTACGTCAGCTTCCCAAAGTGCTGGGATTACAAGTGTGAGCCACCACGCCCGGCAAATTCTTGTGTGTTTTGGTAGAAATGGGGTTTCATCATGTTTCCCAGGCTGGTCTTGAACTCCTGAGCTAAGCAATCCACCTGCATCAGCTTCCCTAAGTGCTAGGATTACAGGCATGAGCTACCACACCCAGCCAACATTTTATTTTAGAATGAGGAAAACCAGGCATGAGGTCCTGTAGCATTAAGACAATCCACCTGTCTTCATTTTGATGTAAATTCAAAATTCACAGTGAAGCAATTTCATGGCCTTCTGTAGCCTGTGTTTTTGTTTCTCTGCCTGCCATATATTTAAGTGGTCGATGGGCTGTGTTGCAGGATTACTTCATTGATCCCTAAAGAAACAGTCACTATTGACTGAGTTCTGATTTCAGGGGTTCTTTTTGGTTGTTTGCCTTTTTTTTTTAACTTTTCTCCGTATATACCAATAGCAAGATAAATAGCTAAAATCAATGAAACTCAGCAAAAACCTGTATGGGTTTATGCATACATTTAGACTTCTACATATTCATGTGTAGAAAACATTATACAAAAGAAAGTGTTCTTATTATAGACTTTATGTTATAACTTGCAGGTAAACAAATACTGTATCATTTTCTCACTTTTAAAAGATGTCAAACATTGTACAACACTATGAATGACTTCCTTTTCTTCAGGAAAAGAAAGGAAGTACCAAGATCAATATTTATTTGACTACCTATTCCAGAAGTGAATTACTGTTGCTCTCTTATCGCCTCACAGTCTTACTTGTTTATGGGCATCAAACCCAGTAAAAAAAATGTACCTTGACAGGAGTGACTACAGCTGTTCTCACATGAGGCAGGCCAGTCACACTGTTTTGACTCCTTTCATGACAGACTCCAATCCCTGTAACTGTGAGTCAATTATGTGGAAAACCACAAATCCATATTGATAAGAAAGCTGAAAGAAAAAGTGGCTTGGCCACATGTAACGTATTTTCTTCCATTCTACTAATGCAGATCTTTCATAAAACTGTTAGAGACACAGGTAGATAAATATCATTTATACTTGACCTTACATAACATAAACCTTTGCCTGATTTATTAGTAAAAGGGACAAAGTACGCTGAAAACTTAAGACACGTGTGCAGAAAGAGACTTTCAGAAAAAAATTCACTGGAGCAATTTAAAAGTGCAAATTAGAAGTCATCTCTATGTCCATCACTTGAGAAATGGATTTTTAAAACTCTGCAATGAAAATTCACTGGACTCCTACCATATTTCATCTAACTCCATAGTCGGCAAGCTACAGCATAGTTTTCTCCAGAGCATAGAGAAAATACAGCCCACTCTTGATTTGTTTGTTTATTTTTCTTGTAGAGATAGGGTTTATCCTTCTTCCCCAGGTTGGTCGCAGTTCTCCTGCCTCAGCCTCCCAAAGTGCTGGGATTACAGGGTTGAGCCACTGTGCCTGGCCGGCCCACTTTCTGTAAACAGAGTTTTACTGGAACATAACTACATTCCTTTGTTTATATATAAACTATAGCTGGCTGTCATGATACAGTTGTAGAATTGATTAGTTACATTATAAGACTGTGTGGTCCTCAGTGTTGAAATAAAATATTTACTAACAAGCCCTTTACAGAAAAAGTTCACTGACACTTGATCTAAGTTGAAATGTCATCAATTGTAAAATGCACCATTACTTTATGTACCACTAATAAAAAAATGTATGCCAGTAAAATTATAATAAGCCATCAATTGTGAGAAGCATTCTGATTTTAGAGACGGATAAAATATTTTTAAAAGATCTTAAAATTGATAAGTTGTAAGTATATAGCACTTCAAATAAGTGAATTATGGCATTTATATCAATAAATTTCAAATGTTAAATGTTGAATAAAAATAGGAATAAAACAATTTGCAGAACGATATAAACAGCATGATATTATTCGTCTGACTTTAAAAACACACAATGAATGTCTGTAAATGCAGATATGTATAGGTAAACATAATTTAAAAGAATTAGAAAGATGTAAAGAAAACTCAGGATAGAGACTTTTACCTGGAAGGAGGAGAAAGGGCCAGGATCATGGTGGAAAACAAGGGAGGAATTGATTTTTATCGGTGATGTTCAACTTTTAAAAGAAGTGATTCACTAATAAAAACTAATTTTTAAAAGCGTCAAAATGTGAACAACCTGGAAGAAAACATGTCAAAATATTAACTGTGGTAAATTTTGCGGAGTAGAAATATGAGTGACTGCTTTTTAAATCGTATCTCACTGTAATTTTAAAGAACGTCATGGATAACTAAAAAAGATGAGTCATATTGTTTCTGTGTGAATCAAAAGAGATTAAGATTTTTTAAAGTACATGTTAATCAATTACCTGACGTTACAGACTAATCCTGTTTTTCCACTGGGGCATTCAGATTAAACAACATGCAAGTCAGGGCCACGTTTCACAGTTACAGCTTTTTTTAATAATGGTGGTACAGCTAATCTTTAAAGACAGTGCACATTGTTCCTCACCACAAAGAAACTCCAACTAGAAAAGTTAAATGTCAGGTGCGTTTCACCAAACAGAAATAGCTTGTCATGATTCATGTTACTGATGTCACGTCTTTCAGCTTGACCTCACTTGTTTTGAAATGTACCCTTGTGATTTTACAGGAGTTTATATGTTGTCACATGCAGTGCGGACCCTCTGATTACTTATTAAATGTGTCACTTTGTCATTTGTCTGTAGCAAGGCTTCTTAAAATCTTCTCTATCAGGATATTCAGAAATTCAGAACTGTGAGATGGTGATTCACCCCTACCAGAACGTTTCTTCTGATAATGAGGACATACTCACTGACCACTGCTGTCAGCGACTTTCAGTTGTTGTTGTTATTGTTCTAGACCTGCCTTTCTTTCACTTGGAGTATTTCACCAGACGTAACTCATGCTGCCTGCCTTTCAGGATTCAAAAATGAGATCTGCCCAAGAAAGTCGTAGCAGGAACTGTGGTCATGGTGGCCTTGAGTCTGTGAAGCTGTAGTGCCTGAGACAATGCTCCCATGCCACTAGAGCCAAAATGGGGTGCTGTGCATCTCACCATGTAACTCCACTTTTTCTTTTTCCAGTTCAATTTCACCATTTAGTATTGAGAGCACAAGACGCCAGAGACGGTCTGAATCCCCAGACTCCAGAAAACGGCGTATCCACAGATGTGATTTTGAGGGATGCAACAAAGTGTACACAAAAAGTTCTCACCTGAAGGCTCACCGGAGGACACATACAGGTACAGCTGTGCAGGGCTTCTCACCTGTGAGCCAGTGGGAATCTGTAAAGCGCCGGCCACTCGCCTCGGGAGCCTTTCGTACTCATTCGTCCTGTGTACATCTCAAGTTCAGTTCCCTCCTTCTAGGCAGAATGTCTTCTCTCTCTCCCTCTGTTGAAAAAGGCTTAAATCTTAGTGAACTTGAGAAACCAATGAAGTATTTGAGCTTTTAAAATGTTGGAAACACAGTGATCTGGTAGTCTTTCTCATAATCAGCATCACCATGTAATCATTATATAGTCTATCAGTTTTTAAAATGTCCGCATGGCGCATCAAAGAAGAAACGGAGCAAAATTATTCTCTCTCTTAAAGTTAGTATTTTATCCATTCCTTTAGATCATGCTTTTTTCTCTCCTCAAAACTGTCTCCCGGGCAGGTGCTGTGGCTCACGCCAGTAATCCCAGCACTTTGGGAGGCTGAGGTAGGCAGATCATGGGGGCAAGAGATTGAGACCATCCTGGCCAACATGGTGAAACCTCGTCCCTACTAAAAATACAAAGATTAGCTGGGTGTTGCGCGTGCTTGTAGTCCCAGATACTCGGGAGGCTGAGGCAGGAGAATAGCTTGCCTCACCGTGTAACGAGGGGCAAAGTTGCAGTGAGCCAATGATCGCACCACTGCACTTCCAGCCTGTGACAGAGTGAGACTCCGTCTCAAAAACAAACACACACAACAACAAAAATCTCCCCTAAATAGCAAATAGGTAAACAACTGATGAATAAAAAATGACACATACACATATATGTAGCATTGTGGGAAGTTTTTACAAACATTCAGGCATAACTCCGTTTGATTCACACTGGCTTTTTTTATCTATCAGGAGAAGAGTTTTAGTATTGACAGTTTACAGAATAGGAAATTGACAACACAATTGATTAACTGCATTTGCCACCATTCCCCCATCTGTCTAGGAAATGAACTGGTGACTCTGCACTTAGCCCCTGCCCACCCCATCCTCTGCCCTCTGTGTCCCTCAGCTGGCATCCTCTGGCCTCCTGGGCTTTCAGTTTCTCCTGGATGCCCCCAGTGGAAGGCCCTGGCAAGAGACTGAAGATAGGAGGAGGGCCCCACAATTCCACCACCTCTTTTTTAAAAAGTGGTGAGTGGACTGTGTGAAGCCCAAAGAAGCTGATAGAGCAGGAAAACTCATTCACACATTCCCAGTAAAGCACGCCTCACAGCAGCTGAGTCCCATCCAGTGTCTTTCCTTGACAGCATCTGCCACTGACTGGAAACTTCACATGTAACAGATTCCCATCTCAGACATGTGAAAAGAACTGTACCCTGTAAACTGCTTCCCATACTAGGTGTCAAAATACTTGAAATTAGCATCCTTTTCCATTTAGCCCATGTTCCTCTCTGTTCCCTGTTCTTTTCCCTTTCCTGCTTAATTAGAGGCAGGGTCTCACTATGTTGGCCAGGCTGGTCTTGACCGCCTGGGCTCAAGTGGTCCTTCCACCTTGGGCTTTCAAAGTTCTGGGATTACGGGTGTGAGCCACTGCACCCAGGCTCCTTTTTCTACTTATTCTAGATTCTTCTCTATGATTCTGAGCTTCTCAATGAGAGGTTTTTTTTCTGTTTCTTATGCTCTGCTTTTAAGTCAGTTTCTTTATTAGTAAGGCAAAGAATGAGTGTAAAGACATGGAAATTGAATAAGCATATAACATCCTACCAGTAGATAGCACAGATCACAGCAGGAAGTATGATTAGGCCATATTACTCACTTTTTATAGGAGCATTTCTGTTTTTAAAAAATGGCTTTCTGTACTGAATCATCACATATTTTGAGTTATTCCTATTCTCTTTGAGCTTTCTGGAATACATATTAGCCTCATTTTCACACAGATACCTCTATTCCTCTTATCCAAGTGATGAACAGTGAAGGGAAGGAAAATTTTTAGTCAGGTACTATTAAAGGATTTAACTCCATGGCATTATAGGATTTTTTCTTAGAGGTTCTAACGTATACCGTGAGAGCAAAGGAGATACCACGTATACGTTATTATTCAAAACAATCTAAAGCTTGCATGCTGCGCTAAAGCAGAATTAATTAGCTTGGCTTATTAATACAATGAAATCACAGAATCTAAGGGTCAAATGGACTTTATATGTTACAGTCTAGTGTTTCCTAAGTAGGGGAACCCTTTGCATGTCATACCTCATAGAGAGCGAGTCACTGCTATGCAGTTTTGGTGCATACTTACATGTATTTTTAAAAATTTGTTCTTAACAACTGGGTGATTGCAGCTGTTATTATCTCTTTTACACTTCCGGCTGACTATTGTTCCCACATTAGTAATTTAACCAACTCTCCGTAAATGTTCTGAGTGATCACTTATTCTTCTGCAACACAATCTGAAGGCAGAGTTCTTCTCTTACAAAGTCCAGTAGTCTCTTACAGTGCTGTTTAGATCTGGAAACCTTCTGGTTGGGCAGAATGGCCTCTAATGATAATGCTGTAATTTTCACTCTCTAGCCCCAGCATTCCTCTCAACACTGTCACGAACCAACTAGTATCTTAATTCTCCAAATCAAACACCTCTAGTTTTCTCAGCCATGTCTCCAACTGATCATTGTGTCCCTTTAAGTTTTGATACCACAAATTGAAGGAAGACATCCTGTGAATGGACTTCTCTTAATACAGGCGTACCTCAAAGATATTGTGGGTTCAGTTCCAGACCACCCCAATAAAGTAAATGTCACAATAAAGCAAGCCACACAATTTTTTTGTTTTCCTATTACATTTAAAAGTTGTGTTTATACTATACTCAACTGTGCAATAGCATTGTCTAAAAAAAGTACATACCTTAATTAAAAAGCTCTTTATTGCCAACAAGCACTAACAGTCCATCTGAGCCTTTTGGCTGGTGGAGGGTCTTGCCTCTGTGTTGATGGCTAATAACTGATCAGGGTGGTAGTTGCTGAAGGTTGCAGTGACTGTGGAAATTTCCTGAAATAAGACAACAATGAAATTTGCCACATGAGTGGACTCTTCTTTCATAAAAGATTTCCCTGTAGCACATGATGCTGTTTGCTAACATTTTACCCACCCGTAGAACTACTTTCTAAATTGCAGTCAATCTTCTGATGCTCTTTATCAACTAAGCTTATATAAACTTCTAAATCCTTCATTGTCATTTCAACAGTGTTGACAGCATCTTCACTGGGAATATATTTCATTTCAAGAATCACTTTTTTTGCTCATCCATAAGAAGTAATTCCTCATTCATTCAAGTTTTATCATGAGCTTGCAGGAATTCAGTCACATCATCAGGCTCCACTTCTAATTCTAATTCTCCCGCTGTTTCCACCACTTCTGCAATTCCCTCCTCCATGGAAGTCTTGAATCTCTTGAAGTCATTGATGAGGACTGAATCAACTACTTCCACATTCCTGTTCGTGTTGATTTTTGACTTATCATGAATCATAAATGTTCATAATGACATCTAAAATGAATCCTCTCTAGAGGTTTTTTAATTTACCTTGCCGAGATTCACAAGAGGAATAATTAGCTATGAAGCTATAGTCTTATGAAATGTATTTCTTAAATGATAAGACTTAGAAGTCAAAATGACTCCTTGATCTATGGGCTGAAGAATGCATGTTGTGTTAGCAGGCAGGAAAACAACACCCGTCTCCTTATACATCTCATCAGAGCTCTGGGGTGACCAGGTGCATTGTCAGTGAGCAGTAATATTTCTCAGGGAATCTTTTTTTCTGAGCAGTAAACCTCAACAGTGGACTTAACATTCAGTATACCATGCTGTAAAAATCCAGGCTTTGTTGTTACATTTATGCAGCACAAGCAGATTTCGCATAATTCTTTAAGGGCCCTAGGATTTTCAGAATGGTATATGAGCCTTGCCTTCAATGTAAAGTTACTGGCTCCATTAGCCCCTAACGAGAGTCAATCTGTCCCTTGAAGCTTTAAAGCTAGGCATTGACTTCTCCTCTCTAGCTTGGAAAGTCGTAGATGACATCTTCTTTCAGTAGGAGGCTGTATTGTCTACATTGAAAATCTGTAGTTTAATATGGCTGCCTTCATCAGTGATCTTAGCCATCTTCTGGATCACTTGCTGCAACTTCTGCATCAGCACTTGCTGCTACAACTTGTACTTACATGTTATGGGGACAGCTTCTTTCCTTAAGCCTCATGAACCAACCTTCTCTAGCTTCCGACTTTCCTTCTGCAGCTTTCTTACCTCTCTCAGCCTTCACAGAATTGAAGAGTTAGGCCCTTGCTGTGGGTTACGCTTTAGCTTTAGGGAATGTGGTAACTAGTTTGATCTTCCATCCAGACCACTCAAACTTTCTCCAAAGCAGCGGTAAGGCTGTTTGGCTTTCTTATCATTTGTGTATTAACTGGAATAACATTTTAATTTTTCTCTGGAATTTTTCCTTTGCTTTCACAACTTGGCTAACTGGCTCAAGAGGCCTGGTTTCCAGGCCGTCTCAGTTTTTGACATGCCTGACTCACTAAGCATAATCATTTATAGCTTTTGATTTGAAGTGAAAGATATATGACTTTTCCTTTCACTTGAACACTTAGGGGTTATTGCAGGGTTACTAACTGGCCTAATTTCAATGTTGTTGTGTCTCAAGGGATGGGGGGAGCTCAAGAAGAGAGTGTGAGATGGGGTAGCAGCTGGTCAGTAATGCAGTCACAACACACACAACATTTATCCATTAAGTTTGCCATCTTGGGTACAGTCCATGGAACCCCAAAACAATTACAGTAGAAACATCAAAAGATCACTGATCACAGATTAACATAAGAAATGTAGTAAAAGTTTGTAATATTACGAGAATTACCCAAGTGTGACACAGAGATGCAAAGTATGACAAAGAGATGCACATGCTATTGGGAAAAATGGCTCCTATACACTTGCCTGACATCAGATTGCCACAAAACTTTAATGTGTGAAACACACACACACACACACACACACACACACACACAC